CGCAGCCACCTCTCGTGAGACGCGTGTCCACTGAAAGATTGATTCAAGGACACCCCTTACCAGTTGTCTCCAACCAGCTTATTAACTCGCTCGAGGGACAAAGAATACTCCAAGTCGCTTCGGCGCCCGCGCGCATTCACCATGGCCGACGAGGAACAGCCCAAGAAGAAGAGCTTCTGGGGGCTCTTACGGGCGAAGAGCACTGCCAGTAAAATATCCAAATTTGTATGCTTCTTCACATCTCTCGACAGACCGATGTGTGTACTAACATGATTTGAATAAGCTGGAGAAAGACCCACAACGAAGGGCAAGCACTGGGGAAGTGTACCGCCAGCGGAGGCAATCAGAGCCCGTCATCTCAGAGTTGAGGCCATCTGCCTCACGTCGGAGACCAAGGCGGACCAACCCGGATGCAACCAAGGGGAAAGGCCGGGAGGATACATACGGCCCTTCCCACGATGCCGGACCCCTGACGGAATGGCCGCCCTCCGGCATGTCTAGCACCGAAGAGCTGACGCTGGGTCCGGCAATGCAGCTCATCTCGAGAGGAGTCCCCGCTTTCAAGGGACACAAACGCCCAATACCGCATGTCTCGGATCACTACTATGCCATGTTCGCAACAGTAGCCGGAAACCGTGGCGAGGAGACGGACGCTGCTAACCATCATGACTCCATGACACAGCTCATGACCCTGTGCCTTTTGGGTTCAGGCCCGGCAACTTACCCGTGGGAGACGCTTGAACAACCCAGTTATTCATTCTGCTTTGGAAGACGCCCAGGGACCATCACTCTCAACCATTGGGCATCACTCGCGAGCGTCCTCCCAACAACTATCCCGTTGCGCGACTCAGGCATTGAGCCACGAGAGGTTGACCTCGAGACCATCTTTGCACGCATCAGAGATTTGGAAAGGGGACTGGAGGACGATGATGAGGACCTGATGTACAAAAACCTTTACCGGAGGCTACTCAGAGACCCAGACAAGCACAGAAGCCCACACAAGACACTGGACACGCAAATTATGGACTTGTTCATGGTGCTCTCACGACCTGATTGGATCGATTTTACCAATCTAAAAAATCAGGTGGCGACCAAGTTCATCTTCGACACCAGTGCTGCCAACGCTGAGCAATATCGAAAGTTCTTCCACCAGCTCCTCCTGAGCATTGAGTTAGATCTTCGAATCAATTCCAGACACCACATGACCGATGCCAGAGAGAGGTTACTAGCCCAAATACCACCAACGATACAATGGAGCCTCGCCCTTGCTCGACGATGGCGCGAGAACGTCCGCGTGGAGGCCTACGGTCCAACACCCGACGATACCCGCCTCCGCTTCAAACTCAAACGTCGTCAAGTCAAGATGCTTAAGCGTTTCGCCCAAATGATGAAGTGGCCCAATCTTTCCGAAACCCTGCGTGAGCTCAAACAACGAGATGAAGACTGCGTCCTCGATCTTGTCAGCTCCCACGCCATGGCCTTCTTCAGCGGGCTTGTCCTCCCGGGCCCTACTTTCCCTTTTCTTATAATGAATTCCCTACTTGACATTGATCCAGACAGAGCCACTGACGATCTGGCTCTACTGACTCACATTCACCCCAGCTGTGGCTTCCAGTACCGTAACAGTTATACTTACTGGACCGCCACTTCCATCGTAGGCAAAGTACTCGCACCTACCTGCCGCTCATTAGGAGGCTGGGTCGGGCCGGCTCGTCCAACTGGCGATCTTGCCCGCTCTCAAATAGCACGTATTCGATCCCGACGACCCCCTAACAAGGTAACGCCGGAGGATATCCGGTCTATGTCTGAGCGGTCTGATCCCCTCGGCCCCCCAACACAAGTCTTCCCAGTCAGCGAATATGCCCTGGTAGCCCCCGACCGCGACGAAGACGGCTACCTTGCCGATCTAGTCCGCATCGAACTCCTCAACCTCCGTCCTGTCGGACCAAACAATAACACCCGCCCCAACACTCCTCGATCAACCAATACCAAGTCCGACACCTCCAGCCCACCAAAGTGGTACGACGCCAGCATCCAATTCGCCATCGATGGTGTTTCCTGGCCTTTACGACTCACCTTTGACGTGAGCTTCATCAGCGCCTGGCCTTGTACCGACGGTCCTCATCCATTGTTCTTCGACTATGTATATACACCAGTCAAAGCGGATGAGTTGGTCAAAGTGCGAGACTGGCCTGGGGTGTTTGGAACCGGGGCAGGAACTCACAGTCATGGGCAGAACGAGAGAAACGCGAGGAGCTTATCGCCCACGACCCCTGGACAGGGGGCAAGTGGCGGACATAACAACCAAGGGAGAACGGGGGTGTCAAGTCCGAGTACTTTGAGTGGCGGGGATGATGAGAAGGTGCTGGTGGTGGAGGCATTTGGGGTGCCGGATAATGAGGTTCTGGCTAGGGCTTGGTGCGCGCATTGGGGATTGAGTGCGGTTGTGGCGGATTTGGGGAAGACCTGGTATGTTTTTATCTCTTACAGTTACTATTCCATGTGGTGCTAATATGGGTATAGTATGGCCTGTGCAATCAGAGAGGCATACGCAGCTACAGTCACGGTAGTGATCTTGGTGGACGATGACCAAGATAACCGACGGGATGATTAGACAATCGGAAGGGAGAGGGTATCAAATCAGTCAGGGTGGAGATATAACAACAAAACCTTTCTTTAATTTTTAAGACGAGCAAGCGGAAGAATGATATCCAAGAATTAGGGAGAGAGGGGGAATTTAGTTTGACATTTTCAAGGTCAGGAGCGAGGATCATTGGCCAGGTGCTATGGTTCAGTTAGGGAGCGTGGAGCAATTTGTTTCTTTTTGATTTTTGATGTATTTACGGTAGCTAGCATTGCGTTTTTTGGTTCGGTTATTTGGCTTGATATCTTGTAATAGATGAGCACAGAAGGAAGGGGATGAAAAGCAATACCCTGTTGGAACTTGGCTCTTTTGACCTTAAACTTGCTTATACCTGGGAGAACATGCTCAGGTGAGCCGTCAAGTGCTTATATACTCATCCATTAAGCTTTAAACGGAACCATTTCACCACCCCAGCTCAGCTTTGTTAGCTCTCGCCCTGCATTTTAGCCAGCCATCTCAGTTATCAAATGACACGAATGGGATACCAGGCTTTCCAGCATAGCCACTCTTGGAAGTTTGTCACATCTTTCACTTTTGCTACCAACTCACCCACTCATCAGTCCACACCACGCGTCCCCCTTACTAACAGGACAAAAAAGCATGTGCAAAGTGTGCAAATGGATATCTCGAACAAAAGTACCGGGCATTCAACATTGCCCGGATGCCCGGATGCCTAGGTAGCTTACACGTGCGAACCAAGAGCTGAACAACCCATTCGAGTGGGATGACTGATGTCGATAGGTAATACGCACCCAATCAATCTGATAATATCCATCAGTTGCTGTGCCTTATTCAGCTTGCCCTGTCATCCATCGCCTTACTTCCATGCAGCTCTCCAGTTGCGCCTTCCTTCGGTATCGCCACATCCAAAGAAACAGATAGAACAGACCGGTTTCTATTATGAGCGGTCAACAAGTCATGGTGTGTGTCACGGTCACAAGGACTTGGGCAAGAAGGAAACCCTAGGTAGGTACTCGGGCGGTCAAAAAGGAAAGTGCCTCCGCGGAAGACGGGAAGGGGCGAGCTGGGGAAGCAAGCACAAAATTTTCACTTTTTCACTTGTATAGAAAGAGCACTTTCCCACGATCGTACCTACCCGACGCAACTGCTTGACTATCTGCAGAAATTTTCACTTTGCTCTTTCTACTCACTTTTCCATTTTGCAAAGCCATGTGTCAAAGGATTTTGATTTCCCAGCGTCATCATTCGTTACCTACAGCCTATGTCCGAAGAGGTCCGCGGAACCTTTTTCAGTCCACATCCTTCCGGCCTCAGACATGAGGCCTTCCTTCCTCCACATAGTCGGATACCAAATTCCACCCACCTGACGGAGAAACTCGAGAGAGGACAACCGAAACAACCCGGACACAATATTCCCTCACCATCCTGCCCCCATCGGCCCGAGGGAAGAAACGAATCCAAAAAAAGACCAGCTTTCGAAGAAGCGAAAAAGACCCCGTCCAAATACCCCGTCGATACACCGCCAAAATCATAACGTCATCATAAACCCGTCTGTCTTCCCCATCCTGATTTCCAAATCGACCAAATTCCAACTACCGACCTCCCATCCGACCTCCCCTCCCTGCATCACCCCAACCCTCATCCGATTCGAAACACGTACACGCGGTCCCAGCACATCGGTTCAATCAAGCCCATCCCGCCCAAGGCAGACTTCCACCTTGTCCTCCTCAAAATCAGCCTTGCCAACCCGTCTGTCAAACCACACAATACCACACAACGCTAGAGACATGAAGGGAAAGATATGCAAGTCATCCGATAGCCACACTATCAAACTGCATGGTTCGGTTTCCTGCATTTTTGGGTTTTTCATAAAAACGTATAAGTGATGAGATGAAACAGGAAATAGTCAAATAGGTGGAGAGTCTCAACCCCGAATTTCCAAATTCTTGACCACAAAGAAAATTCCATCAACCCCTGTCACGGCCCCCAAACCCAACAGTCATCCAAGAGACCCGAAAAGAGGACAGTATTTGTCTCAATCCCCGGGCCCGGAGTTATGCCAAGTCGGAGAAGAGTGGAGTTCCGTCCGGCCGGCCCCACGTCGAGCGATCAAACCCGGTCCAACCGAGATCCGACTCGCGCTTTGCGTGGCGCAAGGAGACGCGTTGTTTTAACGCGAAGCTAGGCAGCAGCCACCTTCTTCCTTGTTTCTTCTTTTTTGTTTTTTTGTTTTGTTTATTCAACGGATCAGGATGCAGTTGGAAGACATGAGAGAACTTGTTAAGACCAGATTGTTCGCAAGACGGCGGTTTTCGCCCTCGTGATGTGAACTAAACCAGGTAAGTGAACAGTCCCCTATCGTCTCGACCGATATCCCGAGCCTTGAGAGTATATTTCAATCCATTCGATGCCGACTCGACGAATTTCTCGATGGTCGTGAGATTGATGAAGACGATGACGGCGGAGCCGCGCCTGGCGTCCCTGGGATCTGGAGTTGTGGCGGCAACTCATCGAACTGCATCGCGAGGCGATACGTGTGTTCGGGAATCAGACGCTGCCTATACATATGTTCGACGACGTGGAAGTCTGGACGCATATGGTCGCTTGTCACCGGCTCGAAATCAATATGCAAGCGGATATGCTGCATGCGCTCGTAAAATCTGGGATACAGGTCGCTAGGGGACTCGGCGACGAAGGGGTAGTCATCGCAGAACCAGCAACGAGACTGCACAGGCAACTTCTCTCTCAAGTGGCGGACATGGTGTTCAATCCAACCAACTTCGTCATCAAGTCGAAATGTTGCCGAACAGCCCTTGAGCTCACTGAATTCGCACCACAGCTCACCAGTCTGCTGCGTCCAATTGGTAGGAGCTGGTGGCGCCGCAATACTTCTTCGTCCAGACGCTATCGAAGTTCTGCCTACCGAGCTCTGGTCATCCCATCGGCTGAATACAGATGCTGTACTGGACTGCATCGTGGATGTAGTGGTATATGCTCGTGACGCAACACTCGGCGCTGCTGTATATGACGATTGGACGTCAGAATTGGTATGGTCAAACTCAGAACCATCTGGCAAGTCACCGCTGACTATCGAGACTGCATATCGGGGAGTCTCAACACCGACACTGTATGGGTTCTGGGAATAGCCGTACACTCCAGTGTAGTCGCTCGAAGGATACGTGCGAAGAAAGTTGTGAATCTCGTTGGGATCAAAACCAGGGCCAGCCATGGTGGTAATGGCCGATGCGCCGGGGTGGCGGTGACAGACAAGCTTAAGAAAGAGGGGGAGCGAGTGCTCTGTGAGGGGTGTTGGGGGTCTCAATTGGCGGGGGCTGGCGAGGTCCAATGGGTGAGCAGGGGGCTTATTCCTTCACTCAGCTATGTGCTGATTGCCGTTGACCGATCCGATTCAAATCGCAAGCTGCTGCAGTCCTTGGGAAGTCCTACTGCAAGTAATTGCCAACACGCAGGCAAGGGACCAAGCAAGTGTTCTTGGTTCCAAACCCTACGCAGTTAGCTGGGCGTCGAGGCGAGCAGGTGTTGGGTGGTATCAAGTGTGCTATCGCGGATTCGAGCGCAAAGCCGCACAGCTACGGCACAGGAGGGGCCGGTATTGAAACGGCACAAGGGAACCGAGACGGAGCTGACGTCGTACAGATGCGATGTTGGCGGTGTTTTCTTGCTGTGTTGATGGAGCAATATGTGGTGGGCGTTTCCCAGCAAGAGAGAGAACGGTGGGATGGGGGATGTTTTGGAAAAGAGAAGCGGGAACTTGGGTCTGATAAGACTGGATGGAAATGAGGGGCAGCTGTGAAGAGTGCGGGTGGTGTTGTTGAATGGTATTTGGGGCCGAGCTGTGATGTGTGGGTGGCGCCTGTCAATTTTGGAAATGACATTTCACTCAGGATAAGCAGTCACGTCCGCGTTTCCGGGAGTTCCAGGATGTTATCAACTTTTCCATTTCCACTTCAACGCAACATCGACCGCTACATCGATCAACACCAGTCACGTTTTTCGTTCTCGTTCCTCTTACAGACGCGGCATGATCCATCCAGCTACATGGAGTCCTTGCATCGTTTCTGCTGCATGCAGACACCATCTGCCGGAGCCCACACCACCCTCGAGGCCTGGAGCCATGCATTTCTGGGTCGAGGTGTTAAGATGCTCTTTGCTATCTTGTGGCTTCTCTGCCACTTCTGTTCATGTCTCGACCGCCATTTCCTCACAGTCGTCATTATTTAGAGGGTCATCTCGACCTCAAGCTTGACGAATGATTCACGCGGGTAAAAACCACATAGCTTGAGTCCATACAAGCGACGCAGCATGCCGCAGTAGCCCTTGGCCAAATTCTTACTGCAGCCACCGCTCCGCTTCAACTCACTGGCTACCACTCTCTCATGCTGCCAGCTGCAGCTTATCCGCAGAGCTGATGACCTTGGCCAGGACGGGACGGATGCCATCTGCATGGTTTAACCAGTCATTCAGTAGCCTTTGACCGATTTCAATCCCACCAACCGAGTCATATATTTCATATACCAACGCATTGTTGCTTTGCGGTATGCTCCAGATGGACAGAGCTCTACTGGAAGATGGGTGGGTACGTAGCATACCGGGAAGGGATCGCGCCGTGCGGGCCTGATAATAGAGTGCCAGCGGAATTATACTCTAATTCGATTTGCTCCCCAGATTACAGAACACCTGGTTGGATAAGATATCGAGGAGCCAACGCCGAGATCTATTCCTGTGGTAAAACCACATCGAGCTTGCGACAAACCTGCTTAATACTTAGCCTCCGATCCGACGCAGTTGCGATAAAACCGACAGCCAGACATCAAAGCATATTCGTCTGTGAGCGACAAGACTCCAACTGGAATCAAAACTAGGAAGTTTCCCCACAGATTGAGGCTCTGCGTGCCCAAAAATCCGACCGCTGGGGTGATGGAGTATTTCACCACTTTGTTTCGGCTCGAAAACACGGACCATGCAGCGTGCCACTGCATCTGCAATCCATTTGCCATGTTGGTTGAGATTTTTGTACCCTCGCTGACCCAAGCGAGGCCTCCTCCATTCAGAGCATGCGGGATGGACTGTGAAAGGTCACCAGCTCGGAAGCTCAAGCATGGAAGAATCCCGACATCATGAAATACCACAGTCAAGGCACATTAGCCGGCATACCGGTCTGCATCTCTATTCGGCAGGTTTGACATATTGGGTTGCGAAGGATCGGTGCACCCGACCTCTACGACGAAAAGATCCCGGCATACGCATTCCTGTACGTGTACCGTACGCACCATTTAGTAGCCCAAGTGGAGACAAATTCGGCGGCTATCATTATCTTTCATCACGCCCATTCCTTTCTTTGCGGCTCAAACTCTTATTCGGGACAACAGAGGACTCTTGCCTTTGAGATCACGTTCCGGAACTGAAGATGCCCGCCAATCTCGTCACCTCTCTTGATGATTCCGGGGAATGTCACGCAGGAGATCTCTCGTTCGAACAGGCCCTCTTCATCTTCACCGCCGATGTCTTCCATGGTCTCGGCGTCAAACATGATTTGCTGGTGGGGGAGGACTTGAGGCATGTGGACAGCAAAGACGGCTTTTTGGACAGCAAGCAGGCGTGACAGATCGACAGCGCTGGCGATGAGGGACCGGAGACCCTGGTCTCGGGCATCGTTGGACTTTGAGGATGTTATCTCGTCGAGCAGCCTGTTGACTTTGGCCACGAGGGCGTCTACGATGGTCGAGGTTTCTCTTTGGAGCTTCCCGCTGGCGTCCTTTTGGAGGATGGCCAGGGTTAGGGAGCGCCACTGGGACATCATTTCAGGGGAGGTTGCTTGTGGGCGGTGAGTTGTTCATACTTGTGATGATTGTGTTGTTTCTGATTGGGGGGTTTGGCTTACCATAGGTGCCCAATGACTTTTCGGCTTCGGCTAGCTTGTCGGCTTCTGAGGGGGATAGACCGACGAAGTAGGTGTTGAATATTGACTCGGTGAGCAGTCGCGAGACGAGGGACTGTAGGAGGTGGATCTTGGCTGTTGAGACGAGGTCTCTGTATGTTGGGACTAGGCGGTCAAGTTCTGTGAGGGTAGCCTCGCTGGCGTGGGAGAGGTCTGTTTTGAAAGAGCCGCAGTATTAGTTGAAAGAGCCTTTTGGCAATATCCTCACCGCTGGTTGATCCTTTTGCGGCCTCGTCCTCTCCCATTCTACGGTATGTCTTTTTTTGCATGTGGGAGCCTCCTTGTGCCTAATGGAGGAGCGACAAAATCCAGCACAGTTGAGAGCCTCATTGAGCTCCCCAAAACCTCCCATCACGCCCAGATCGATTCTGTCAGATAATGTTAAAAATTCCACCTACCAATCTTACTCCTCCTCCAATAAACCAAAACCCAGTTCTGCAGGCCATTCCCTAGCTTGCCCATGCCCTCCTCAAAGACCTCGTCGCTTGTTGTTTGCCCGGACCCGTTGATTCCCGCCCCGCCGTTGCCCGATTTACTGACGAACTCCTTCAACCCTCGTATTTGGTCTTGGAGCTGGGCGAGTTCTTGCCTGTGGTCTGTTTTTACCTGGCGGAGGGTGTCCCTTAGGAGGGTGTTTTGGGCGTCGAGGGCGTTGATGTTGTCTTTGAGATGGAGGTTTTCTTGTTGGAGCGCTGATAGCTCGTCTTCTGGACTGTCCTGCATGTTGTAGTGGCCTGGTTCTTCTTTTGGGCGGGCCGGGGATGGGGATGGGTTGCGGGAGAGGGAGAGGGAGGAGGTTCGAGATGGGGTTGTCGGATGGAGATTTGACGTGGTGTTTCGTGAGGAGGGGGTTGCGAGGGAGGAGGAGCGAGGGGTGGGCGTTGGTGAGAGGGCTCGGGTGAGGGCCGTGGTGGCTGCTGTTGTTGCTGTTGATGAGGGGGGTTGGTTCAAGTTGCGGCGGCGGTTGGAAGAAGGGGATGGTTTTGGAGAGTAGGGCATGTCGTTATTTAGATGTCGTGTTGGTGTAGTGGTTGTTGTTTATTGGTGATCTGTCGTGGTGGTGGTGGTGGTAGTGGTGGTGTTGGTTCGTTTGCTCGTGGGGAGCATCTAGGGGATGGCTTTCTTATGGGTTGGTTGTGTAAGTACTACTACCACCACCGCCGCGCCGTCTGACGCTGTAAGATTGGCTGATTAATCTCGCCCTTGGAAGAAACTTGCAGCCTAGGGGGCAATATCCGAGAAAGTGTGTGTAGTAAGATAGCGGCTCCAGGCTGCTGGAATGGATGGTGGTGTTTGATTGCCTTCAGCCTTGGGCGATCCCTCACGTTCGTTTCCGGCAGGGGGACCCTGTGGGGGTGGCCCAAGCTCCATCTTCCCAGCGGCTCGTCTCGCTCGTGACGGGACAGGGGAGTGATTTACATGGGTCTGCTGAGCTTGCGAAAATGTTATCAGATTGGGAGCTGCCTATCCTCACCGTAGGTAGGTAACAAACAACAACCTTGGGCATATTCCATGATTATTTACCAGCATCAACATGGAGGCAACATCGATAGTTCTCAACCCTGATCATCCCCATCTAAAACCCAACCTCCCCCACAACCTCATACTCCTCCTCCCCCGTCTCCCCCCCGTCTCCATCCAAAACCTTTTTCGCCCCCATCTTACAAATAGCCACCATTTCCACCCTCACATCCCTCATCCAGATCTGGTCCTCATACCGCTCGATAATATCCCCCGCCTTCTCCACCACCATCCTCTCTTTCCCATGTCTTCCCCTATGTCTCTGCTTATCCCGCCCCTTGACATAAACAGTATTCACAATCGTAGCGTGCAACAACAACGGCCGGCCATCCTCCACCATCAACTTCTCCCCCTCTTCCCCAACCTGTAAAAATCTTTCCCTGACAGACTCGCAAAACCTCTGAAGTGAACCAGTGAAGCTCTCATCCGTAGGCGGGGCGTACAAGACGGCGGTTTTCGGCAGCGGGTGCATGCTCGCCAGACCCCTAAGCGTAACCCTCGGCTGGTCTGGCTCACCCTCCTTTTTAACAGAACTCCACATCTCCCTCAAATTCAACCCAGCCAAAACAGATTTTGCCTTCTCCAGTCTACCCTCGCTCGGTGGTATGCTCGCGCCAGAACGATCACCATTCACCAACGGCGACGGCGGCGGCGGGAAGCTGAAGATGCCAAGTGTCAAATGTAGAGTCCCCAGAGGTCGAATAGCCGTCTCTGGTAGGGAAAACCCTTGCGGAGGGGGGAGCGTGACTTCGTCTTTGAAGGCGGAGAGCGAGGCGGCTAGTTGGGGGCGAGAGGTGGGTGTGACCAAGGGGATGCACAGAAAGTGCGTGGGTGGTGGCGGTTTGGGCCTGGGAGGCATGGTGCTGGACTTTTCTTGAGTCGATGGGCTGTCTATAGTCAGTTAGTTCGATCGGTATCTTGAGGGAGGGTAATTTGGGTTTCTATAATTATATGCTCTGAGATTTTGTACCTTCGTGGGGCTGTCGTTGAGACCAAGCCAGGCTTAGCAGATCGGTGAGTGAGATTGGGGCCTAGCTTGCGACCCCGACCGGCCGGTGACTCAAATCTCTGCAATGAGAATAGAAGAGCCCAGGAATTTCCTTCGCTATACTCTTCTCCTTTTATTAGATGCTCTATTGAAACAGAGTAGAATGTAGATTTGTCCAAGATCGGCGCAAGTGTTGAAAGGCAACTTGCAGATGAAGTCAGAAGGAAAGAACGATGGTCCGTGCACCACAGCTCATCCAACACACCCTGACAATATGAGAAAGGTTTTGGTATTTACTACTCCATCCAGAGGTGATGCTGCTGTCGAATTTCACTTGTGCACTAACGAGAGCAACAAGTGGACCTGAGCAGCTTCAAGAATACAAAGTATAAACTTCTGAATCGAAGAACTGTGGACAATACCACTATCACACCAAAGGCTACACCATAATGTCTGCTCCGTAGACATGCCACACCTCTCATGCAACCCGCTGAAATCAAATGCAGTGCTTCCCTCTCACGCCGCTCCGCAAGCTACGATTGCTTTCCACAATACCCAGCACTAGCCAATCCGTGACCTAAAACGTGCTGTTCTTATTGAGAAAACTGCTCCTCCCCACCACTAGCTTTTGCTTCACGATGGGCCTGTTTTGACCAACACATGATGGCCTCCCGCAAAGACAGTATAGACTATCGGTGCCGCCTCGACTCGAGATTGTTGCCGTCTATCGTTGTGTTGTCGAGAGACGGCATGTTGCCGTTTTATTCGGCTCCAAAGAATTTCTTCATCTGTTTCTCGAGCTCGGCTGTGTCGACTTTGGCGGCCTGGAGTGCCTCGGCGATCTTTTTTAAGCATACGTTCTCGTCCGGCTCAGACACTCCGTCGACCGTGAGCTTGTGTCCATATTGCTGCACAACTTGACAGCTGTCCCGGATCTTGTTAAAACCAAGGGTGGCCGAGGATCCCTTCAGGAAGTGCCCCAGAGTAGAGAGTTCGTTAAGATCTCTGGAAGCTCTGCACATCATGCTGTCAGTAGACGACACTCCTCTTGCGCTCCAGCCACGGATATAAACTTACAGAGCTTGATCCATCTTCTCGAAGGTGTCCTGTGCTTGCTCAAAGAAGTTGATGACCAGTGGCTCACTGAAGTCCCTCTCATGGTCGCTCTCGTCCATTTCCAGGATCTGGGAGAAGATCGCATTGTCGACGTGGTCACCGAAGTCTGGCATGTTTGCGAAGTATACTTCGTCGTCCTGTAGTCCAGAAGCTGGGTTAGTATGGATCGCCTTGAGATGCGGACACATTACGGACCGAATCTTCGTCTGACTTGAGCATGGTGGCAAGGGGCAGTCAAGCTGTGCTCCGGAACGGATATGCTTGTTACTGTGGAACGGGATGGAGGTATGCTGATAAGGAGCAAAGGGATAAAAAGACTGAAAGGGGAAACATGGGAGGCCAAGGACACACGGCTGTAGCCGCGCTGGCAGGGCCCGGCTCCTCTTAAGTACCGGGGAGCGCACCCTTGCAGGAGACAAAAGGAAGCGGAGGAAGCAGCCAGTGGTGGAGCGCGAGGATGAGGATGAGATTGGGGACGGGGTTCTTGGGTCTTGGGTGTATGCGTGTGAGAGGTGAGGCGGGGGATGGGCTTACAGGATGTCTCTAATAGCAGAAAGACAGCGACTGGTTCCAGAGGTTCCAAACAAGGGCGGCTGCACCACCAGGCTGCCCTAGTATGCACAAAAACACGTCTGGCAGCGGCGTACGAGGAAGGCCGTTGGCAGGGGTGAGGTTTTCGGGAACCTTATTATTTGCGCGTCAACGGAGAGTCCAGTGACTTTCTGAGTTTGGCTGCGGAGTGAGGGGTGGAGCCTCGAACTCGGCAGGATAATGTTCAACTCACCTTGAATCAATCACGGGGGGAGACAGAGAGGAGCGACGTGTGATACGGGCGAGGGTGGCTATGGCAGCTGGAGCTGATTCAGATAGTTAGAGATGGATGGCTCTTGTGACATGTATCCTGTGTGTGTGCGTGCGTGTGTGTGTGTGTGTGTATGCCCGAGAAAGGATCTGATGAAGGGCGAAATTTTATCCACGGCGGGGTTGAGGGGTCGGGTCGGAGCGAGGGGTCGAGGGGTAAAGGGGACTCTTGATGGTACCGGGAGAGCCCTCGCGGCCCCGGCACAGGAATGGATAGGAAAGAGGAGAGCGTGACTGACTATTTTACGACAAGACCTGTAGGGATCCAGGAGTGGAGGGCAGACGCGGGCGGGGAGGGGAGGTTGGAGGTTGGTGGTGTAAAGGCTTGTCTGTCCAGCTGGCACTCTGTAGAGCGGCGCCGGCAACGTAGGAGCAAGGTATTAAAGGGTGGTAAAGTAGATGATAGGTAGGTTGGGTGTCCTGCTGGTGGAGAAGAGGGTGGGCATAAGATCTGGCACGACAGATAATAAATAGCGTTGCCAAAACGGGTGGCAGTCTGGCTGCAATCCAGTGAAAAACCTAATCGCACACAAGCAATAGGTAATTCAGCACCGCGGCACCTCGCTCAGCTCTCAGTCATGACACATCCATTAGCTTCTCTTTGTCCCTTGGCCGTCTTGAGCCAGCTATTACTGTATCTACAAGCAAGATGGCCTATTTCACGCACTTTCTTCGCGATCGTTCTGTCTGGTTTGCTTTTGCCAGCGCTGCCCCCCGTAGCTGTCTCAACAAGTCGGACGGGCATTTGCAGGTGCTCGGGGGTTCCTGGGCCAGACGTCACTTCCGTTTTGAGGTGCAGAGGTGCAGCGGTGGTGACGCGGGTGACGCAAGGGTACTGGCACCAACGACCCAGCCCAGGTACGGAGTAATACCTACTGTGTCTGGCGAGATCGCAGCATTTCGGACTGGATCTGGTATCTGTCGCTGCTCTGGAAACTGCAAATCATGGGAGAATTGATCTAGAAAGCCGATTGCTCATGCAGGCACAGATTCAGACGGAGGGGAAATAACCTGCTGTGCTTTCCAGGTCCAGCAGACAGGTACACTACCTCTCCTTGCCATTCTTGTTGAGGTTCCGCAGGTAGGGGTCCACCCACTAATTATCGCTAAAACGAGGTTAGTCTCGACACTCAACCCCGCAGTCGTCATGGCTCCCCAATTGGGTTCTCGTAGCACACACTGGGCGCACCTGTACTCGAGAATAATGGCTTCCATTTGTGCGCGTGTGGCCATCAATCACCGCACATCCACATAATCTTGCTCCATTCCGTATCGAGAGATTTAGAAACTGTTTATTTCCACCGTTCCAAAGTCATATAAACGCCCCAAAAATTGTCCGGATTACCTTCCAGTGGCAGGCAGATATGGACGATAACCCCCAATCCAGACACAGCTCGGTACCACCCCTCATCGGTTAGACTCTTCATCGGTTTCCTCATGCACAAGGTGCCTTCCATTCCAGGGTTCAAACTTGAACCGAACTGGGCCCGTGCGCTGATGTGTGCCAGCAACACAGGAAAAGCTGACAAGGATTTAGGAATTCTATTATCTTTCGATTTTCATCTGATTGAATTCATCTGTGTGATAAATTCCACTGGAAGTATTTCTCCCATTTTATTTTTCTTTCTTGTCTGTTTTTTTATTGCCTACAATAAGCGTCTTTTCCAATACCATCGCGGGGCTCGACGTCAAGCGAGGGTGACCTTCCCATACGACACGGTACCACAGCTCAAGAGGTCAGTCTGGCTTCAGCAAGTGACGCAAGAATGAGCTGATCACGACTCTGCTCCCCCGTGGCGTGACCAGGTGGTGCTCATATTTTTTAATGCGGCCTCTTCTCCCACTTATCTCTCGTTGGCGACGACGATACAGCATATCGAGCAGGCCCATATGGTCCCATGCCGCTGACCGTGATTCGACACGGAAGGTCAAAAGGACGCTTCGAAAGACTTGAATCTGGCTGCAGACCGACAAATGCAGGGTCCAGGCCGATCTGTCACAACCCCTCTATCGGCGTGGGCTTTTGATAGACGGTACCCCTCAATGCCCTCTCCCCTTGGGTACCTTATCGGACTGGACCGGACAAACACCCGGTAAGAGGCATGCATGCGATGGAAGAACCGGATCTGTGGAAGAAACACCACTCTGCCAGAATCGCGGAAATCTGGACGGTACTCCGGGGCACAAACTCGACACATTCCTGCTGTGTAACGATGCTCAGCACCACCACGAGAACCTGCTGGTGAGCGATGTCATCGACAAAGCGGTCGATACAAGCAATATCGCTAACCAGCAACGAATCCACCGGAGAAAACACATCGTGGAGTAGCGGGTCTAGATGCTGTCGCCCCCTTACTCAGTCGACAAGAGGAGTCACGGAATGAAAGGTCTCGACAGGAGCACCTCGACGGTGGTTGAATCTCATAACCCCACCAAATTTCGACAGCCATTCATTAGATGGGGTCCCTCCACAATAGGCTCTTGGCAAGTGGGGCCAGAGGCAGTCGTCTCAACATCGACGTCATTCCGCCAGGTGTCGTCATTGGGAGCACGAGTACCCGGCCCCATGCAAGGATCCCTGACCAACTTTCCATTGGAGCCCAAAAACGTTTTGTCGACCGTTTGCATCGTGTGCGAGTTTTCCAGCGGATCGGTGGGGAGCCACGAGTGCTTTTATCGAGGATATCCATTTCCACCACCCACATCCCTCGTCTCTTTGATACCGCAAGAATTTCCAAACTAGGCCGAGTTTGTTTCAACGACAACATGTAGTGTAGTCACGATGCCGTGTCAGAGAGGTGGTTGGTGGGATGCCAGTCCCTACACAATGCCGCAGTAGCTCCGACAGCCCGGATATCGGCACCGCCTGCATCTTTCTTCGGAGGAGGTGCTGGCTCGGCATCACACACGGCCAACAACACCACAATTATTACACCGCATGAGCATATCTTTCGGAGGTTAGTTGAGGACTGGTGATCGTTTTCTACCCTTTCCATTTTTTATTATTCTATACTAGATCTCCGTACACCAACGGGAGCCAAGGCCGGGACGCCTGCACGTCTCCCGCAACAAAACGGAGGCTGGGAGCGCCCGCGGAATCCCGTCAACTGCAACTTCAGGTGCTTCCTTGCGTGCGACCGCCCGAATCGGCGGTCACACCATCATCGGAGCCGGACAGTGCTCCTGAGTTAGCTCCACAGATTCAGATGCAATGTGCCTTGACTGAGTAGTGATAGAGAACGTGCCTCAGGCGTTGCCTGTGAGCCAACCTTTGAACCTGTCAGCCGTCCACACAGTGCTGATTCGCTTCGGTCTGACGACGAGGACCAGATCGTGGCTTTGGAATCTACGTCAGCTCCCATAGCAAGGGCATTGGCCAGCTCTGAGCTAGTTAAATGCGGCCCTTTTCAGCTCATCTAATATCGTCTTGTCGCACTCAGGCGCCCGAAACATGTCCCAGGCGGACGGGTTTGAACGCCGCTGACAGAAAGAGCCGCTCTGAGCGACGATATCTATATCAACCGCCAAGGCTTCCTTGTAGTGTAATGATGACGTGCGTCCTCCACGAAACCCGAGACTCCCGGCCAGCATGCTCTATGGATATACATATTCCTTCGAGACACTTCTATCAATCCTTCGCTCAGGTTGTGCATCGGCGTGTCTTGGGTATCTTGAGCAGCAGGAACTTTCGTTCCGGGGCTGTTGTTTGATCGAAGCGCCACAGGCGCTAGACTACAGTATCTAGTATTTTCATGCTCGGACAACTTCATCTCGATAAGTGTCAGCCATTCTCGAGTTCGGGAAATGTGTACTCGGATATCGAAGAAACGGGCACCAGTGACGACAGCCTCCTGAGCGCGCCGTCTGTCCCCAATTCTGCCCTCCCAGCAAAAAACTGCTCAACACCATCACAGAAAGTAAGTCGATCAGTAATATCGGACCGGGAAGCTTCCGCTGCAAGTTTCAACCCCACGGCGAGAGAGCAAAAGTTCATGACTTGTTGGTTTTCCGAGAAAAAGGGCGCGGAATAGTGGTACATACAGAGAGAGAAAGTTCAGAGACATGTCAAGCCAGCCCCCGTTGTCTGACACCGTTTTTTTTCCCTGTTTCCCCCCCTCAATCTGAGCGTTCTAGACCCTCGACTTGCATAGGGGACTGCATCGTGACACTCCCAAAACCTGTTTTTTTGCGTCAGGACTACATACATACATATCAGCAGTGCGGTCCGGCCGGCTTTTTTTTTCCTCCTCACCACCAACGCACGCACTAATGGGTTAAGAAAAAGGAGCCTATCATGGCGATGGTACCCAAGAGATCAAAGCGTTTTTGGGTTTGGTTCAAATCTTGGCACTAGGAGAGAGTATTGGAAGACAGACACAACAGGATGGGATGGGATTATAAGCAGAGCTAGAAGATTCCATGTTTAGAGAATCTGGGTTGCGAATATTCGCTCTCCCGAGAAACACCATCGTGTCCCGAAATATTTCTATCGTGAAACAAGATACCTAACCGGCGGGCGGGGTTACATAAGGTACATATCAACAATCTTCTGATACCAAGATTTCCAAGACTACCAAGACTTGTTTAGTTAACACAAAGAACCTTCTTTTTTCTTTTTTTTTGTTTTTTTTTGGGTTGGTGCTGTCGGGGGGCAGCTGATTTAATAGACATTTTCTATATCCAGCTACATGCAAAAACCATATCTTTCTCTTTGCTCGCTTCCAAATTTGGGGGAAAACATGTTGTAAAATGACAATCATTAAGTGGGTATAGAAATAAGCAATCTTTCTGGGAACAGTTCCTTCATGCAAGCCCACTGTTCTAGGCTGGGGATGTTGCCGGTCTTGTAAGCGGTTATTACTCCGTGTATCTCTTGGACTGTTTCTCTTGAGAGGGAAAAGGCTCCCCGGAATGTGCAATCGCAGTGCAGCGGCACAAGATAAGAAGAGAGAGGTTTGTTGTTGGGGGTTCTCAGTCAGCCGCCGGCCTGACTAAACTAGTACCGGGAGCATCGTCTTTTTGCCCCAGCCATATCGTGGTTGTGTTTGGGAGGGCTCCCAAGAGGCAATCCCGTCCAACTGAACTCTCCAGCCATTGATATGGACTGGATAGCAGTTTCGAAGGTCGACATGCGTGCCAACCACAAGGCCAACCAGCGCCCTGGAATGACATACACTTCACAAATCCTGCCCTGATATAAGCAGAGGAAAGTTTGCAAAACTCCAAAGCCAATAACCAGCAGAAAAAGAGAGTAGGGTATGTGAAGATGCCAGGGTAAAAAACTCGAAGCCACAATTGCTACCTGGCAAGCTTGACAAACGTAAAGACAGGTATGGCACAACACAAACCAACGCCATGTCTCTTGCACATTCTAACAAGCCACTCCTCTCAAAGCAATACCTTCGAAGCAACGGTCAACAACCAAGCAGCATCATGCCAGCCACCCTCATTCTCCTTCGGCGGCGGGATACTCTCATCCACCATCGTCTTCATATTCTGCCCCTCCAGCCTCCTCAAGCATGACACCCTCCTCTCCATCTCATGCCCTGATCCCTCCCCATCCGTCGTCTCCCCATCATAATCATCCTCCGACTCCTCCTCATCGTCCTCCTCAACGGCAAAAAGCTTCACACCGAGCACATGGCCAAACCAAGACCCTACACCCCCGTTCCCAGTCCCCTTCACCAGCTTCCTCACGTACGCCTCATCTTCTGCCCCATCACCCGTGACAAACTCAGCGTCATCCACAGTGTAATTTTCTAGCTCCTCGTCAAAATTGACAAAATCCGGACCGGCAATCTCGTCGTCAGGGTTCTCCGCCACAGGAGTTGACCCCGACCCATTAGAGTTGAAGTAATCCTCCACAAAGGTTGTCATCCTATGGCTGCTCCCGCCTGGCGTCATAGACCCAACCCGGGAGTGAGATCTGCTCCTAAAGCGGCTGTAGGCCGGGGAGGAGATGTTATCATCGTTGCCGTCAAGATGGACACTGCTTCTCCTAGAGGCGTGACGGGATAGGTGACGGGGGGTGTGCCGAGAGCCATAAACCAGCTCTTCTCTTTCCCTTGCGAGTTCCCGCTCAAAGGCTTCGTCTTCGGCGTCTTGAGGAGAGTGACCAGCCAAGGATGTGGACGAGGCGCGGGTGGAGAGCCAGGCTTGGCCTTTGGATTCCCGGGTTTCGAGGGAGATGATGGAGCCGCAGCGGAGGAGCCAGTCCGAGTCGGAGCGGTCGGTTTGTCTCAGCTGGTTTGGGTGGTGGGAGGAGCGGTGGCGTGGGGTGGTGGGGGAAGTGTGGAGGGAGGTTGAGCTTTGGCGATGGGAGGCACGGGACTGGTTGTGGGGGAGGTGGGAGGAGGATTTCGATTTTGCGAGGGAGACTGAGGATCGGGACTTGCGGGCGCCGGAGACAGAGGCGGAGCGGTTGTTGGGACCCGGGGAGCGGGAGAGGAGACGGGGGGTGGTAGGGGCGGATTTGCCTTGGAGGTAGGAGTAGGAGGTTACTGTTGGGGGAGCGGAGGTTGGGGTGGTGAGATCGTTGTCGTCGAGGATATCGTGGGCATCGTGAATAGGGAGTTTGGAGGTTAGAGGCGCGAGGGAGAGGTGGGTGAGGTTACCCGAGGATCGGGACTTGCGCCTGAAGGAAGAGTGTTGATTGTAGGCGACGTCCATGTTTTTGTTGGGGTAATGAGTTGTCGTCGTCTTCTGGCTGTCTAGTGGGTAGGTTATTAGAAGGCAATGGGAAGGCAAGAAAACGAACGTTGAATAACAACGAGTGAGAGAGAAGGGTGGAGTTTACCCCAGACTCCAGAAGCAAGTGATATATGAAGCAATTAAGTAGTTTCACAGTCGGGCGGTCAGTTGTCGGTGGTGGTGCGATTGGAAGGATGGGAAAGCTCTATCCCTTGTTTGTGGCACCCTGCAGGCCTGATTCCTCAACAATTGCTGGCTTTCAAAGCTCTGGAACGCGTCCGGCTGTGGTAGGGCGAGTTCTGATTCGCCCGTTTATTTAGAGCAATAGCCACCGCCACTGAAGCTTGAACGCCCTGGCAAAGGTACCAGCGACTTTTTAGTGGGAAATATTTTCCCGCGGTGTGCCGCTAAAGCAAGGCGGACTGTTTGGTACCCCGGTACAAGGCAAGCCACAGCCAATGACCGACCCCGCAGCTAAGCGCACTGACTCTAACATTTTGAGGCTGGTTAAACCCTGGGCTCTCGAAAGCTTCAGTGTATGGAGGGGCATAGAGGGGCTATCAGCCATCAGTGTCATTGACTCTCTAGAACGGTGGTGATCTTTTCGAGGAGGACAAGCTTGTGAATAACCTTGAGACATCGAGTCACTCGGTCAAACTTGGCAGACGGATATCAAAGGCTGAAAAACACCGACAAAAATCAGCTAACTCGAGCTGCATGAGCATAGGCTTGAGCCCCTCGACTTACATACACACTACAACTCTTTTAAAATTTTCAGTCGCTTTTTTATTCACATTTTGCCACTTTTTCACTACGGAAATAGACGAGTGCTACCCTTCTGAACTACCCACTTCGTCCGCTCTCAGCTCTCACCACCTGGGCACCGGTGGCCGCCGAAAAGTCCCGAAAGAAGCTATATCCTGATAATGATCGCACCACTACGGTGCTAAAACCAGCGATTGACTCATACCCAAAACTCATACCAAGAAAAAGAGTTTTGACCGGACGAGATGCGGAACTTGCGCAACATCGGCCACAGCGTCTTCAGGGATCCCGTCCCGGATTCTCCCTTTCCTACCGCCGCCTCGGCTTCGGCCCCTTTCTCGGCATCGTGTTGGGATGTCTCCAGGGATGAGGTGATTGTTGCCCGTGGCCCAACCGCCCATGATGCCCGGATCGAACTCTCGAGGGTAGTGAAGCACACTCATGAGCGTCCCCCTTGTCACTTGTAAGATACATATTCATCATTCTCATGTTAAAACAAGCATATAATCTAAGACTGCAATTTCTATGACATAGAAAATCAAGAAACATCGCAACATGGGATGCACTTTGCCCAAACGAAGATGGCAGTCCAGATGTTATCCGGAGTATACACTACTTCAGCGACACATTGACAACATGTGTCATCATGGCCGGCGGTGACATTGTCACTGTTACTGAAGACGAAGAAACCGCCGCTGGTGAAGCGCACATTGAGATCGTAGGCACATTGTCGCCCTCTATCTCGGCTGCTCGCTGGTCACCAGATGAAGAGCTACTTGCCATCGCAACAGGGGATGCCAAGGTGCTCTTCATGAGCCGGGGCTTCGATGTTATTTCAGAGGTTGGCCTCAGCGAAGAGGACTTGAGGCTGTCAAAGCATGTCTCCATCGGATGGGGCAAGAAGGAGACTCAGTTTATCGGCAAGGGCGCCAAGGCCAAGGGGCTTCGAGACCCTACTATTCCGGAGAAGGTAGACGAGGGCGCCTTGAGCTCAAACGATGATGGGCGGTGCACGATCAGTTGGAGAGGTGATGGTGCGTATGTTGCTGTCAACTTCCTTCAGCAAGGACAACGACGTGTGATCCGGGTGTACAACCGTGATGGTGAGTTGGACAGTGTCAGTGAACCCGTGGATGGGCTTGAGGGCGCTCTGAGTTGGCGGCCTGAGGGAAATCTCATGGCCGGGATTCAGCGTCTCTCGGACCGTATTGACGTTGTGTTCTTTGAAAGAAATGGCCTGCGCCATGGGCAGTTCACACTTCGAGCGCCCCAGGACGCCCCTGATGTGGCTGCAGAGCTGGCGCTTGAGTGGAACTCGGACTCAACCGTTCTAGCTGTTATCATGAAGGATAGAGTACAGCTATGGACTACAGGCAACTACCACTGGTATCTGAAACAAGAGTTCCTCTGTGGTGACGGTGGTAGCAAGCACCACCAGAGTCCAAAGTTTGCCTGGCATGCAGAGAAACCACTGTTGTGTGTTGCGGCGACAGCAGGTAAGATAACCTCTCTACTCCCTATATTCTCCTCAGTTGTCTCACAAGTTGTGTAGGCAAAGTACTTGTCAACGAGTACATTTTCACCATCGCCCGTGGGCCGGGAGTTTCTCCTCACGACTTCGGAGCTGTTGCCGTAATTGACGGTCAGACGCTCAAATTCACCCCTTTCCGGACGGCTAATGTGCCTCCTCCGATGGCCTTTGACGAACTCGAAGTCGAGTCTCCTATTATTGACGTTACAATCGGACGGGATTGCAACTCGATGGCCGTGCTGCACCGAAGTGGTGTTAGCTTCTTCGAGCTTATCATCCAGGGACCACGGATGCTACCCCCGAAGCTTGCCTCTACGGCTTCCTTTAGGAAGACACATGCCCAGTTATACGAGGAACATGTACTTCAGGTTGGCCTGTCTGGCTCAAATGAGGTTCACATTCTTCAAATGTCGGAAGACATGGAGATTGTCAGGCACACATTTGAAGGCACACAAACAAACGAACACGGGTGGCAAAAGACGGATGCAACTTCCATCACAACCATTACAACACCTATAGTGCCACCAGTTGTCGAGGAAGACGGAGTCATTGCTCAGGATTGGCGTGGCAGACTGAGCAGAATCATTGAAGGAGAACACCTCCCGCTTCCTGCCGAGTTTGCCAACTTCTTGCCCTGGACAAGTTACATTACACATTCAGGCGAGTTCCTGGCTTTTGGACAGGCTCGGAATGGCTACCTCTACTGCAACTCGACGCTACTGGCCAGGAACTGTACTTCTTTTGTTGTTACCAAGCATCATCTCATCTTCACGACTACCAACCACTTCGTCAAGTTTGTTCACTTGGCTACGGAAGAAGAGCTTGAGGTTCCCCAGGACGACCCCGAGAATGACGAACGATGCCGGAGTATCGAGCGGGGAGGCAGGCTGGTCGTTGCCATGCCCAGCAGGATGAGCATTGTGCTTCAGATGCCTCGTGGCAATCTTGAGACAATTTATCCCCGGGCTATGGTTTTGTCCGGCATCCGCGACCTTATCGAGGCCAAGAACTATGGCGCTGCTTTTGCGACATGCCGCACTCAGCGTGTGGATATGAACCTGCTCTATGATCACCGACCGGAGCAGTTCCTGGAGCACGTCGGCTTGTTCTTGGAGCAGGTGAAGGATACGGCCAGCATTGACTTGTTCTTGTCCACTCTTAAGTAAGTTTCTTGAGTCTTTAAGAATCATCTGATACCGTTTGCTGACTTTGTTTAGGGAGGAGGATGTCACCCGGACTATGTACAAGGACACCAAGGCTGGCTCAGCTCCGCAGTCGCAAGAAGCTGAAACGGCTGCTAAAGAAAGCAAGATCAACAAGATATGTGATGCTGTTTTGGCAAAGCTCAAGACCCAGAAGAACGCCAACCTCCAAAACATCATCACAGCGCATGTCTGCAAGAACCCACCAGCCCTCGATGATGGCTTGCGCGTGGTTGCCGATCTTATGCAAGAACATGAGGCACTAGCCGAACGTGCTGTTGAGCACATTTGCTTCCTGGTAGATGTCAACAGACTCTACGACCACGCCCTCGGTTTGTACAATCTCGAACTTACTTTGCTGGTTGCCCAGCAGTCTCAACGTGATCCCAGAGAGTATCTCCCATTTATTCAAGAACTTCACAAGATGCCAAAGCTCCAGCGAAAGTACACAATCGATGACAAGCTCGGGAACCACGAGAAAGCCCTGGACCATCTCAAGGCTCTTGGCAATTTCGAGGAGGTGAAGACGTACACCGTCAAGCACAAGCTCTACCAGCACGCCTTGAGCATCTACCGTCACGACGAGCAGCACCACCGCGTGATTACCGACCTCTTCGCCGCCCACCTCAAGTCTATCTCCCAGTTTAAGGAAGCCGGCCTAGCCTACGAGTCACTCAACAGCTACCACGACGCCACAGACTGTTACCTCAAAGCGGGCGCCGCCTGCTGGCGCGAATGCCTCTACGTTGCCCAGCAGCAAGACCCGCCCATCACCGCTCAGCGACTAGAAGAAGTAGCAAGCGACCTTGCCGACGCCCTCCGCGAAGCAAAGGACTATGCCGCCGCGGCAACAATCCACATGGAGTACCTCTCTTCTATCGAATCCGCCATCCAATCCCTCTGCAAGGGCTACCTCTTTGCCGATGCGCTCCGGCTTGTCGCCCTGCACAAGCGACGTGACCTTCTTGAGAGCCATATTGACAGCGGCCTCGCGGATGCCTTCTCCTCCAGCATTGAGTTCTTGGCTGATTGCAAAGCCCAACTCAAGGCGCAAGTTCCGCGCATCCTTGAGCTCCGCAAGAAGGCAAAGGAGGACCCGCTGGCGTTTTACGAGGGGGAGAACCCCTTTGGGAGCAAGAACGCGGATGGTTATGACATCCCGGATGATATCTCTATTGCTGCTAGCTCGAGGGCGACGACGAGCGCGTCGATGTTTACGAGGTATACCGGCAAGGCTGGGAGCGTGGGGACTGTTGGCTCCAATGTCTCGAGAGCAACAAGCAAAAACAGGAGGAGGGAGGAGAAGAAGAGGGCGAGGGGGAGGAAGGGGACGGTTTATGAGGAGGAGTATTTGGTTAATAGTGTCAGGAGGTTGGTGGAGAGGGTGGAGGGGACGAAGGGGGAGGTGGAGAGGTTGGTCTTTGGGTTGGTGAGGAGGGATATGCAGGAGCGGGCAAGGGTTATTGAGGAGGCGATGGGGGTTGTGCTGGAGGGGTGTAGGCAGGCTGTTGGGGAGGTTTGGCCGCAGGAGGAGAAACAGCAAGTTGAGGGTGAAGGGGAGGATGGAGAGGGGTGGAGGCCGGTGGGCGGGGATGGGGTGCTGTTTGAGAGTTTGGAGGCTATGAGGGCTAAGCAAACGGCGCCGGTGGTGACGGGGTTCGAGAAGTTGGCACTTTTGGGGGGAAAGAAGTGAGCGGTGGGTGGGATGTAGGAGGTATCGATTAAAATTGGGGCTAGAAGCATTTGCATTGGTTGTTTAGGAAACGAGAGTAAGATAGGGTAGGCATAGCTCATGAAACGATGTTTTGTAGATTCACAATGCCTAGCTGTATAGTATGGCGTTATGGTTCCCCTGATATCGACGCCACAAAACCTTGTTCTTTGTTTATCTCTTCCCAACAAGGCACGTACACATTACCCCTTTTCAAAACCAACAAGCAAGGCAAAGGAAACAGATTTTTACCCGCGGTCATACTTCTCACAGCGGCCATAGGCAAGAAAACTCCCTCTGTTGCCTTCAATCTTTTATTCTCATATGGACATGACAATTTTCAAATGGAGAGCCAAACGGGTACGCTACGTTTCATGACAAAGTGCTTCTCTTGCATCGCCCATGCCATGCTAGCTCTATCTACCCATCGCTACCACTACGTATCTACATTCTAGGCAAATACTTCAAAAACCCCACAAGAAACAGCATCAGTGGTTTAGTGGTAAAATCCATCGTTGCCATCGATGGGCCCCGTGTTCGATTCACGGCTGATGCATATTATCCCAAAACTCCCGCAGGAGTTCATGTGTTCTTTTGGACTTTTTTACACATTTTGTCCCATGTGTTTTGAAACATATCTGGTTCTTGTCAAGAATGAATAGACAGCTAATCACATGACCGACTCACTTTTTTGAGTGAGCTCTGTGCCACCTGTTTGGCCGAGCCATCAGTCCAACATCGTCTTAACCTCCGTGGTAGGACAGATGCACCACGAAACAGCACCAAATTGACCGGGGCACTCTTCATGCTTTAAGCCGAGCAATCGCCACTCCATCTCTTAAGACCAGAGGTCAAAGGTTTCATATTGTAGACACCCATCTCTCGGAAACACACTGCAGTCTCGGCAGTATCAACCGTTGAGGATCCAATACTTTTTATTCGGGCAGACAGAAGTAATCTAAGCGTTTCTTCGAACAAAGAAAGAACAAGAAAAGAAATGTTGACTGAACACAGCACACCTAGCCAGAAAATCACCAAGGCCAGACCTCGTCAACAGCACGATTGTGACCAAGGCAAACAAACGGCTTCTGCCGTTTGCTTCCCCGATTTACTGCATCACCCTAGACAAAAAATGGCGTCCCATCTAGCCCTGTGTGAGTGCGAGTATAACTCTCCATGGCTACCTGATCCATTTTACTTGATCTGAAGAGACTGGAGCTGGGCAGGGACATCAGCAGTGCTATTAGCCTGGAGACCAACCGCCACACTACAAAATCTCAATTAGTGTTCTGTCTATAAAGTTGGGAAAGAAAAAAACCCACAGGGCATCAAACTCCTCCTCACTCAACCCAGTGAGATCAAACTCGGAGCCGTCCTCCAAGACCAAGGCGTTGGGCCTCTGGCACTCAGGCTCGAGGGTGGAATCAATCGCCCGCTTCCGGCCGATGAAGTTATACCCGACGCCGGAGTACCGGAAGCCGTTGGACCGGTTGCAGATGAAGTTGCCCCCGTTGTTGCCCGAGATGGTCTGGAGGCGGTTGCACTGGCCGTTGTCGTAGCCGCGGCACTGGATGTTCCAGCCCTGCTGGATGCCGCGGACGGCGACGGACTGGTAGGGGCTTCCGTTGGCGTTGGTGCCGCAGCAGGTGTTGGGGTTGATGCCGTTGCAGCGGAGGGCGTTGGAGCCGCCGCAGTTGTTGTCGGTGTGGAGGTAGAGGTCGATGGCCGAGGCCGAGGCGGCGAGGGTGAGGAGGGTGGCGAGGAACTTCATGCTGATGGCTGGGGGTTGGTGGTGGTGGTTTTTGTTCGTTGAAGGCTGGTGATGATGATGATGATGATGATGATGATGATGATGAGATGAAGGCCGGTGGTGAAGAGGTAGAATGAGGTGGTTTGAAGGGGGGAGATGGCCCTTCTTTATACCCGTCGAGAGTTGCCCATCTCGCCAGATGAGGTTTGGTTGAAGGACTTTCATCTATTTCCAATACCCATCTCTCGGACTTGGTTACACACATCAAAGGGGACTGGAATATATCTCGCCCATGGAGCTGACGCTCATCCATGCCCTGCAGAGTCAACGCATCTCGGACTCTGAGACCCTCCAGTCTCCACATCACAGGACAGTTGGCAATGTTCTCAGCAAGCCCAAGCTCGTAACACGGCCCGGTCATATTGCCAAAAATGCGAATATAATACAGACGAAGAGCTCTTCAGCGTCAAAGGGGCTGTGGTGGTGTTTCTTAACACAAATGGCTCGATCACATCTAACAATTACCGGAAATCAACTCATCAATTCCTCCCTCAACAACCAACACACCTCAAATCTTAATCTCTAACACGCAAGAAAACTTTTGATAATATTTCTTATGTCCCAAAACAGAACTGCCTATCAACTGTTCATATGGTGACACAAACACAGCCAAGAGAACCGGTCATGATACCTCTTATGCCCCAAAACAAACACTCGCGGAATACCCATATGGTAGCACAAACACAACTCGGACTCTTACCGTGAGTACGGTAGCCAGACAATGAGGCTCTTTTCCTCAACAGCAACAACAATCCAATCACACTCTATGTTGTCTTTGTACTACCTGAAATGTTTAGTAAGACTATCCAATATGGCCAAATGTAGGTATAGTCCCACAAACAAGGTCCGAGGCTGAGAAGTCCGAGAGAGTCCAGTAGTTGTGATACTACCGGCATGCATGGCAGCCTGGACTAATCAGTATGACTTTTTTTGAGGCTCGGCAAGTAGAGCTTCGAAAGATATGTCCATTCAGAGCTGGCCCGGTCGTCATATATTAGGTAGGCGCACCACTCGGCGCTTGAGCCAGTTTGATTGAGACTGGTAGCGAGCGGGCTTGAAAGGGAGATATCAACGGACATCTGAGGTATGCAGCATGTATGTGCCTGTAGGGAATTTCTTTTTTTCTTTTCAAAAACTGTGCCTGACCCAGGCAGGCGTGGAGTAAGGCTCTGCTGGCGAGAGGATAGCTACCTAGTGAAGAGGGTGGGAAGTGGTGAAAAAAAGAAGCAGGACACAGGAGGACAGTGGAACGCCGCCCAACATCAAGGAGGAGTGGAACCATTCTCCAATCGGTAAAAGTATTTGCGGATTTCTTGCCTCCCCTCTTTGTACTTGGTTGCGAGCTTTCCCTCAATATACTATCTTTGAATCGAGAGACTAGATAAACTCAAGTTAGTAGTAGCCAGCTTGCCAGCCTGCCAGTCTGACAGGATAATGTATATCCTGTCCTAACCCATGATGTGTGAAACCTTCTCTCGGATCAAACTTTCCAGGTTGATATTGCCAAAGCAGCAAGAATGTCCAAGTAAGGGCGCTTTCAACCCCTCCTACTACTGTGTATGTTGGTTAGCAGTTGAACAGAGAGTGCGAGCCCACCAACTACACAAAGAATAAGACAGCCTTGTGCAACAACGCCGAAGAACAGCTGGAACGCTCCTTTTGACTTGAGACCTTCTATATAACCTCATCATCCACGTGCCCCTCTCACATACGACCATAGGCAGTTGAATACACGGGATCCCGTCCGCTCTCCCCTAGTTAAGCAATTGACCGCCAGACTAGTACTCAGGTGGGTGACCACTGGGGAATCCCTGGTGTTGTATGTTTTTGCCGGTGTCATTTTTTTTGTTGATATTTGGTGGTCATTGTTGTGGGTTGTGGTGGAGATTTTTATTTGTTTGGAAATGCATCGCCGAAAGTCTTGGCAAAAAGTTTTCTGATATTTTTTTGGGTAGCGGCAGTTGAATGGTCCAACTGCCAGCCACCCGGGACCAGCTGTGACAGTCGGGAACCAATCGGTCATTTCCCTTGATCAGAGGTGATTGGCCTGTGAGTGACAGATGCAGCCAAAAGGGGACAGGGACATGCAGGATGTGGATAGGATAAACTGTTATCAAGTATCAGCAGTGGCATTGCGTGGTGGTCGCATAAGAAACAGCTGCGATATTCCCATCTCGAGCCGTTCCAGATAGAGCACGGTGCACCTTAGGATGAAAACAAGATCCCCGCTCGCATAAACTTCTTCGGTCGCTTTTAGAACACGTCGTCGAATTTGCGGGGCATCCAACGGTTTTACAGAGTTACTTTGTCGTTGTCGGTCGGACCGTGGTGTGGAGTGTGCTTTGAACCATGTCCGCGTTTGATGTTTCGATGGTGTCGCTCAAACCCGAGGCGGATCATACTCTGCGTTTGGCGTCTGGCGTCAAGATTGCCTACAAGACAAGTTGAAATGAGGGTTGGTATCATGATTCCGGCGTGCACACCTTCAAGTTTGACACGCCTGATCCTACCCACTCACACGTGCCTGTTGATCGATTGCTATGGAAGGATTAGTCGAACCGGGGGAGCTTCCGGGGCCCATGAGACTTGCCCCCGGCTCGCCCGGAGTCCGGGCTTCCTCAAGACGGGCTAGCTCTATCCATAGACCCAACCACCGGCCCCTCGGTAAGAGCGCCGAGGAGGGGCAGACATCATGGTTTAAGATTTTGGAGGGGTTGGGAAACCTGATGGGGTAGTGAAGAATTCGCAGAGATGATCTGTTGTCGTTGGGACATCTTCAAGTCACCATGTGATTTGATGGCTTGATAGGACGATGCACCACGTTCACCGCCAACGGCGGCAAGAGTCGATATAAAAATCTGCCGATGGAACGGGCCCAGTCAACCTGAGCGTCTGCTGTTTCTCGTCTTGATATTCATGGTATTTCTTTTGCCTCGAGCTGGGTTTCAGCTTGTGGTGCCGTCAACCCACTGCCTTGGTAGTTAGCGGCTGGAGGCGAGGCTGAAGTAGGTAGCGCCGCCTTCGCGCCGTGGTGTCTTGTCGTTTGTGTCATTGAGCGTCATGGCAGTCTATTTGCAGCTCGCAGACATTCAAAGCAGTTGAATGCAACAGTACAACCTTCGTGACGCAGTCCTGAGTAAATTCTCACAACCTCCTGCGCGCTGCGAGCAGGTTCTGTTGGTAAAATCGAGTTCAGGCTGTTCCACTTCGTAGACATCTCCAGTCATGACCATGATGAGCCTGCGGTGCCACCACTCTCGGATTGGGGTTGATGGCTTATTGGACGTCGCACAGACACAGCCTTGAGGAAATCGGGAAAACCGGACTCGAACTTGGCTGTTGAACCAGGGAAGACCTGTGTGTAGCTGGTACTTCGGAGATTAACACAACATGTCGGAATCTCGAGGTAGGACAGATAAAGCTCCAGGTTTCTAGAAACGTCAGAAACGTAGCGTGTAGCCTAACGGGACACCCAAGAGACGCCAAAAAAGCTGATTCGACGTCCAAAAAGGAAGCGTACCTGCACATCCAATCCGCTGCCACCTACCACCCATCCAGCTGCAGGCTGTTGAGATGGACGAAACATGCGTCTGGCTCTCGGGAGACAGGCACCGTACATTACGACGGTAGACCGTCACGCCGTCCGCCAGAATTGCGCTGCTCCGAGATTGGTAATCACGATGAGAGGTCAGCGGGATGCCGAGAGACCGCACGGCGGTTGTCTCATTTGAGCAGCTCCATCAATATCAAGAGGGCATCGTGTGGTGGTGAAAATGGGGTGAAATGGCGGCTTGGCAGAAGACGACTTGTGATCGGGGAAGGAAGCCAGGGTGAGCGTGTGGGGCCCGAAACGTGAACTGGTAAATTAGTGCGAGGCATTATTGGGAACGCCTTTTCTCGATTCTCTGGTGAAATCTGGCATCGTCGATGTGCAGAGGGTGTGCAAGTTCTCTGGAAGCAGGGCAGCATGATGATGGGTTGCAGTTCCTGAAACATGAGAGCTTGATGAAAGCTCCCGCTCCCGCCCATCCTGCCTCTGTCCCGCTGAGAATCCAGCCTACCTTTTGGGGCAGCCAAGGCCGGCACAACGAGTCGGGTTTGGCAACGGACCCTTTTGAATTTCACCCCAATACCGTCACAAACGGCCCTCCCCCGCAATATTTCAAGCCACCAGCGGCCACCAGTTGAGTGCGGGGCCTGGCGGGGATCACCAGCCACTGACCACTGAACGGTGTGTGCTGGCACGCTGCCAACTGAGGAGAAGCATCGTGCGTTGCTGCAATGTTTTCCTGGTGGGAGGTGTCATTGGTTCTGCCGTCGACAGCCCACAGAATGTGGATGTGATTATCTCTCAGTCTGTCTCCTCTCGTCAATATTCAACAATAATAGCACTGCGGATATATGCGGAGCCAGGCAGCCCGTAACGGCGGGAGGGGAGCAGACGACGACTGTTTATCCGCCGTTGTTTGGGGAGACCTGAGGTGACTGAGAAACTCGAGCATCACCTTCGCTGTCAACAAACCGACAACCACCACTCGGCCCAATCCATGCCGTGACGGCTTCATCAGATATTTCTTCTTGTCGCGACGGTGACATTATTTCTTTTTCAACCCTGGTCTCTCACATCTTAGCCCAAATTGCGCCCGCTCGAGAGCAGCGTTGCTCCGAATCACTAGCGAGATTGGGTCCCCTATCGTTTTTTTCTCGAAGACACCCCGGCCCCAGTAATTCATGCTAAGAGAACGGACCCATTTCCCAGAGCGCCAGCAATTGTTGTGCAAAAAAAACAGTTCACCGTCCATCGCCCGTCCTGTTGCACTCGTTCGTCCCATGAGAGTAACAAGCCGTGTGTCTCTGTCTGCCATTCCGGAATACTGGCCCGCTCGTCCCCCCATCAGCTGTATTCAGTTTCTCGACGCTGTCAGCAAACGGCACAGAGCGAGACGGACATCTGAGACCATTCAGCTCACCCTCTCACTCAGTTCACTCGGCACAGGACAGGCCTGGACAGGGCAGTGACCTGTACACTGACACCGCTCCGGTCACCACCGCCGCTCTCACCCACCCTACACTCCCCCGACGCTGTCTCGACTTTTGACAGTTTCGCAATCGTCCGAGTCAATATCCATCGACAGGGTAAACAAACCCACACGTCTTGTTGACCCCCTGGAGTCAATCCTTTGGGCCATTTCTTGCATCCATCCATCCATCGCTTCGGTTCGCGCTAGGAGGCCTGCTGTTACGCCCGCAAGCTCCTTTTTCCTGGCCCTGGTCCTCGTCCCACACTCTCCGGCAACGCGAGAGATACCAGTCACGGTCGTCTCCTCGGCCGTCTTCCCTGCCATCCATCCTCGACAGGACATCTTTCCACAATACACTTTTGTCATTTCATGTCGCTCATTAACCCAGCTCTATTCATTCGCTCCTTTACAATAACAACTCCAACTGCCTACACTCCTTGTCAGCCACACGCTATCTAGAACTCACTCACACGGTCCGCTCCTCGTCGCGCCATCTCCACCACTACTATAATCGATCGCACACTCTGACGACCCCTCGACCCCTCGACACGCTCGCGAAAGTTGCTTCTGTAGGACACTGAATGCTCCGATAATCCGCACTGCTCTTTTAGAGAGCCTGTTTCTACTTGCGACTCGGCATTATCCGCGCTTCACTGCGCGCAACAGGGCGTGTTTTGGCTGGTTCCGGCGCCGATCCATTGTCAATTCGAGCAAGTCCTCGAAGACACAAAACACTCGAACCGGATATCCATCATCATTTACGACCATCAACATGACTGTCGCACACGACTTGACCCGCCGCGGGTCCACCCAGCTCGTCACCAACAACGGGCTACCCCTTGAAGACAGGTTCGAGGTGCTGAAGGAGATTGGAGATGGAAGCTTTGGAAGTGTCGTGCTCGCGAGAGTACGGACGGCGGGCGCCAGTGTTGCCCGTCGTGGTACAGTGGTATGGCTTATTATTTTCCCTTTGACCAAGTTGCTGTTCTGACCATCAATTACAGGTCGCCATCAAGACCATGAAGAAGACTTTCGAGTCGTTTCAGCCATGCCTGGAATTGAGGGAGGTTGTGTTCCTGAGGACGCTCCCCGCTCACCCTCATTTGGTTCCGGCCCTTGACATCTTTTTGGATCCATTCACCAGGAAGCTCCATATCGCCATGGAGTACATGGAGGGCAACCTCTACCAACTAATGAAGGCCAGGGACCACAAGTGCTTGGACAACGCCAGCGTGAAGAGCATCCTGTACCAGATCATGCAAGGTTTGGAGCATATCCATGCTCACAGCTTCTTCCACCGCGATATCAAGCCAGAGAACATTCTCGTGTCTACTTCAGCTCATTCGGATTTCACCAACTCTTTCAGACGGTATTCTGCTCTTGTCACGCCACCATCGACGCCCCCATCTTATACCGTCAAGATTGCCGATTTTGGTCTCGCTCGTGAGACGCATTCGAAGCTTCCTTACACCACGTATGTCTCCACCAGGTGGTATCGTGCCCCAGAGGTACTGCTGAGGGCGGGCGAGTACTCGGCCCCGGTGGATATCTGGGCCGTCGGTGCTATGGCCGTGGAGGTGGCCACCCTCAAGCCTCTCTTCCCCGGTGGAAATGAGGTCGACCAGGTCTGGAGGGTATGTGAAATCATGGGAAGCCCAGGGAACTGGTACAACAAGGCTGGTGCGCGCGTCGGCGGTGGAGAGTGGAGGGAAGGAACCCGTCTTGCTGGAAAGCTCGGGTTCTCCTTCCCCAAGATGGCGCCTCACTCCATGGACACCATCTTGCAGACTCCCCAATGGCCTTCGTCGCTCAGCCAGTTTGTTACCTGGTGCCTCATGTGGGATCCCAAGAGCCGACCGACATCTACTCAGGCGCTTGCCCATGAGTACTTTGCCGATGCCGTTGATCCTTTGCGCCCAAAGTCTGCGTCCAAGATCCTGGGTCGTAAACAGTCTGACATCAGTCGGGGAAAGGACTCTAACGCGACCACGCCAACGGCTACATCAAAGCCGTCTTCGTGGTTCAGAAAGTCGCTCATCGGTCGCTCCGAGAGTGTCGAGGTTATGGCCGCTCCGCAGCCCGCCCCGAAAGAAGCACCAGCACCAGCTCCTGCTCCTGCTCCTGCTCCTCGCCCTGCCCCGATCGCTCGACCTGCCGCTCCCGTCGAGCCACCACAGCCGGTTATGCCTGCTCCACGACCCACGGTCGCAAAAAGAGCAACCTGGACAAACGGCCCTTCGAACGTCGCACCAATGCCCATTCTTCCCACCATCCGTCCCATCTCACCTCTATCGCAGACTGTCACAGCCCAACCCGCACCAGTGTACAATGACGCCTATGCGAATGCGGTTCAGAGACACGCCCCAGTTCAAGAGAAGTCCTCCAAGAAGATTGGCAGGCAGCTCTCAGTCCAATCGAACACCAATCACTACGCTGAACTTCACAGGCAACAGGCAGAACGAGCTCTCAATGGACAGTCTGGCTTGGTGTCGCCACCGAGTGGACACAAGGAGAGCTTTTTCTCGCACCTCCGGAAAAGAGCGAGGAGGTTCTCGGGCAGACATCAGACGCCCATGTCGCCCAGCTCTGACGATATGGAGGCCCAGGCAGGTTGTGGACCATGGGCGAGCAACCGCTCATCAATGGTGATCGACAACCCGGCACCCATCCCCGTTCCAAAAGACACGTATGAGTCCCTCGATAAGACGCTCCGCGAGGGTCAGCAAATGGCCGAGGTACCTCCTGCGCCACCGGCCCATCAAGTGAATCAACTAACGCCAAGCGGTAATCTCAAGCGCCACCACTCCCTCCCTCACCACCAACCAAGATCGGTCGATAATCTGCTTGTCGCCTCCCGAGGAACCGGTCCCGTATCTAGCAGGACACGAAGAGCCCAGGCTGCGCACGGTGTCAACCAATACGACGACCCCAACGAGGAAGACGAACTTCTAGATGAAGTGTTGACCTCGACCCACCGTGCCATGAAGCGCCTCGACAACGAGAAGCCTCTGAGGCAATCAGCTAGCAATGTCGTGTTGACGAACCCTTACCCGACCCCTTCGCCCTCCGCCAGCGGAAACGTAATGCTTTTTGGTGACGGCAAAGAAGCTGTCACGCCCAAGCCATTGAACTACGGCAAGAAGGCTGCCGAATACAAGTGGCCCACTCCCCCTTATGACGAGGGTGACTGGGCGGCTTCGGCTTCGGCAAGCATATGGGCGGCGGGCAGTCGGTTTTAAGGTGCGATGTTTCTTTCCTGATGGTCTCTTGGTGACGGCGGCGAAAATAAAAGTCTTGGTTTCTGGCTGGGTTTCATCGGATGGTGTTTTGGGATGGGAGGATTCTACTTGATTGGGTCTCATCGCTCACTCTCGACTCTGCCAAACGACGGCAGATATTTTCGGTTACAATGCTTCTCTCTGGATCGAATTCGGTTGTGGGGGCTCGTTTTTCAGTCTTTCGATCTCGCAAATACCCCCAAGGACGGTGCCGCCTTGTCGAGTGCTAGATTTTAATACCTTGTGGCTTGTTTCCTTTTTCTGTTTATTTCTCACATATCTCAAATTTCTGTCGTTTCAAATACCCCCATATAGATTGAGTGAGGAAATTGGGATATTTGGGTTTTTCTGTTTTCAATTGCACACAGCCAGCCAGCTTTGAGCCAGTTTGTGTCACATATCGTCACTTGCTTGCTTTTTTGGCTGTTGTTGTTTTTCTTGGCAAAGCTCATCATCATCATATCATTTTGGCGTCTCACATGTATCGTCGTCGGATGGGGGGCTTGTTTTTTCCTATGTTAGAATATTTCAAGAAGGGATGGGGAGAGAAGATGAGAGGGGGACTTTGCTCATATTTTTTGTTGTTTTACACAGACCGCACATATCACGCACCACTGCACACACGCACACACTGTTTTTGAAGGGTGAGTGGGGGGCAGCAGCCGGCTGGCTTTATGGCTGGCTGTTTGGGGAAGTGTTGAATCTTTACACGGTACTATCTTTATTATTATTTTTACACACACCTCGACATATAAGTTTACATACCTAACCTTCACAATTTTTTTTACTTGTATGTCATACGAAGCGGTGTACCTGAGGTGTTTCATGGGGATGAGTTGTGAGTGAGGGAGGGGGGAGGGGGGCTGATGATTGGATTGGTGTGTGGGGATGGGAGTATTGTTTATCACCACTCAGAATCGAAAAATGTTGCTTTGATATAGCTGTTTTGACTTTGTTGTTGTCGTTGTTGTTGGGGGGTGTTAAGTGTGAGATGAGATGGGGCGTATACCAGGTGGCATTTTGTGCGTTCATTTATGGAGAACAGGCGTACAAGGTCGCTACGGGGTGGTTTTCTGTTGTATAAAGGGTGATTTTGACAAGAGAGAGGTGAAGTTGTGTGTATCTACGGATACCCTAGGTATAGGGAGAGCGGCATATGCCATCAATGGATGACGTCCAAGAGGCAAGAGGATCTGCGATAGGGCTATGGTGGAGTGTCACAACCTCCCTATTCTTTGCGTTTTGGATTTCAAAACCAGCTATTGCTTACATACAGCCAACGGGGTGTCCAGCCGCTGACAGCCAGCAAAAGCTGAACAAACTTGATTGTTTGTTCTGTTCGGTTTAACCCGCGTTTTTTGTCTTGGATTTAGTCTGAACTTTTTTCTCTGTACTGAGACAATTGAGCGGCGCGGGGGCCTCGGGATACCGGGAGTGGCTTGCTTCTTTTGCCTGGTTTTCTTGATCTACTGTTTGGTATCAGGAGATGGATTGGCGATGGGCATTTTTGCCACCCCCTTTTTTGGGCAACAAACACACGGACGGGCGAGACGGTTCTAGAGGAGGGAGGGAACACCACATCACACGTAAGCTGAACGTATTTGACGGTATGTTTGAGAACGTCAAGTACAATTCCCATGACAAGACCCAGTGCGCGGTGGAGAGAGATAAGATCGGATCAAAATTATCAGATTTTGCAAGGTCCTTCTTCAGGAACTCGATCCTGAAAGCAGCATGGGGAAGTTTGCGAATATGATTTGATGAGATGCTATGGAAGAAAGTGGATTGTATCGGGGATTCCCGTGCAAGGGCCAGGCAATCGGTTATCAATGAGCAACTTGTTGAAGAAGATCATCATTTTTTTCTTATCTCTCACCGAGTAGGAAGAAATCACGAACCACCACGACGGAGATTAGGGAAGTTGAGCGGCTTGGCAAATGGATAAGAAATGTTTGCCTGGTTCGAGTACGTCGACAGCGAGATGTTTGCGTAGCGGTCTGAAAAAGCTTTCGTCATCACCAGGCCGCATCGGTTGTTGGTTTTCGCATTCGGCTCTTTTCAAAACCTTCCATATTATTTAATCCCCGAAATAATGCTACCAGAGAAAGGCTGTATGTAGCAGTAGCAACGCCATCACGTGAAACCCTCCTGTTCCTGATCCCTGTCCCGCACTGGACCTGCCAAAATGGAAACCCCCCCCCCAAAGAAAGAAACGGGCTGGACGGTCCGTTGGCAGTTCATCCCACCGTTTTGGTGAGGAAGTTGCCCGTTATGGCCGCCAGTCATATACAGTAGTGAACAAGCCACCAACAGCACCACCACCACCAACCAGCCTTGCAGCTCGCCAGCGGGTTGCTTGCTCTTGGGCTGAGGGCATCTCTGCTTGGCGCTCCCCCACCCCATTTCTCCCCTTACCCCACCATCCCAGTCCGTCCAATGCTATCCAGCCTCAGAGAACCACAACGCACGACCGGGCAAGGCAGCAGCATTCGAGACGACAGGAAGCTTTGAAAGGCAGATATATATATGAATTGTGGTTATTTTCTTGGCGGTATACGAAGACTCGAGACCTAGTGGGACGGGACCTTGCAGGTTATTTACGTCATTTTCCACGCGGCCACCTTTGGGAGGGGACTTGGCTAGGGAGCCAAGGGGGAGTGGTGATCTTTGACTTTTGGTGTTGAGGGGTTCATCGGAAGGCAGACGTACTTTGGGTGTTCAATAATTGGAAAGGAAAGATTGCTTCGACAAGATTGAAAGTCGCTTCTCGTTCAGAAAGGGATTCAGAGACTGGAAAGTTTTATCGGGTTTGGGGGTATCAACGTTGTGGATACGGGCGTTCAGGATACGGGATTTGGCAGAGGTTGAAGGGGTGGACCGTCTCTCTTATTGTTTTCACTTGTATCACCACCACATCATCAGTCGATGCCGCCGTCACCATGAATATCCCTCTCCCCATCCACTCATCACCGAGTCTGCGGAATCGGGAAAGCAGAGACTATCACATCAAAAACAACACCTCCATCAGCAGCAATACCAGCACTCAAAGAACACCGCCACCGGCGGCCGAGGCTATCAATGGCCCGGTTAGGGAGGCGGCCAGAGGGTCAGCGGTTATCAACGACAGGTTAATCGTTGGTGTCGACTTTGGAACTACATTCTCAGGGTAAGCTTCACCCCATCCCACCAAATCTCATCATATACATATCACTAACATTGCACACAGAGTAGCAGCAGTCTACACCGGCACCCCCGACGACATAGAAATCATCAAAACCTGGCCGGGCGGCAACGGCATCACCTCGGACAAGGTGCCCACCGAACTATCCTACGACCTCCCTCCCAACTCACCCCCAGGCACCGCCCCAACGATAAAATGGGGGTTCCAGTTCAAACCAGAAGAGTCCCGCCTCCGGTGCATCAAGCTCTTTCTCGACCGCTCCCAGAAATTACCATACTATGTCTCACCCCTCGAAACCGCCGCCCAGCTTAAGAAGTTCAAGAAGACGGTCGCCGACGCCGTGAGTGATTACCTAACGCAGATATACAAACACACAATGGACACCCTCACACGAAGATACGGCGAGACGTTTATGGCCTCGACAAAGGTCAGTTTTGTTCTCACCTGCCCGGCGGTCTGGTCAGATGCTGCGAAGAACACTACTTTGCAGGCGGCGGAGAGGGCCGGGATGGGGGCGGGGGGGCAGATTCAGATTATCAGTGAGCCCGAGGCGGCGGCCGTGTATACTTTGAAGGCGATACAGCCTAATCACTTGAAGGTTGGGGATAATTTTATTGTTTGTGACGGTGGTGGCGGGACGGTCGAGTGAGTTCTTGCTACTTTTGCAGTTACCCCTGAGCCCGGGAAAAGGGGCAACGAAGCTGACAAAACACCCCAGCCTCATCGCCTACAAAATCGTCTCTCTGAATCCCATCAAAGTAGAAGAATCAGCCGTTGGAACCGGCGGGTTGTGCGGTAGCGCCTTTCTCAACTACCGGTTCGAAGAGCATGTCAAATCCAGACTCGGACAGAGCAGATTCGATGACATGAAGGCGAAAAAGGGCAAGACATGGCAGATGGGACTGCGGTATTTCGAGGAGTTTGTCAAGAGGAATTTCAACGAGGACGAACATCAGGAGGTCAATGTGCCGTACGTACCCCTTTCCCCCCTCTCCCCTCACCCTCATGGAGACCTAACCAACAACCCCCTTTAGGTTTCCCGGCCTTCCCGACGACGAAGAAGCCGGCCTCGACTCGGGCTTCCTCGTAATGACAGCCGACCAAATCAAAGAAATCTTCGACCCCGTCGTCAAAGAAGTCTGCGAACTCGTCCAAGGTCAAGTCGACAACCTCCGCGCGTTGGGGGGGATCGTCTCGGGCATCATCCTCGTCGGTGGCTTCGGACAAAGCGATTACCTCTACCGCAAGCTCAAGACTCACTTCACCAGCGCCGCCCCCCCTCCCTATAGTGAGAGACCCTCCCAGGCCAACATCGACATGCGAGAGCGGCCCTCGGTGGAGGTGATGCAGCCGGTATACGCCTGGACGGCCGTCGTCCGCGGCGCGGTTTTGCGCGGCTTGGAAGGTAACATGGTCATATCCCGAAAGGCGAGAATGCATTATGGCACGTCGTATGCGACTGTGTACGACGAGGAGAAGCACTCTGTGGCGGAGAGGTACTGGTCGCCGCTGTGGGAGAGGTGGATGGTCAGTGACAGGATGCAATGGCATATTGCAAAGGTTAGTCTCCCACCCTCTCGTCCCTGTATTCTAGTTCCAACATACCAACAAAAGAGAAAAAAAAACAGGGAGAAGCGCTATCGCCCATGCAACCCATCGCCTTCCACTACACCCGCAACTTCCGCCCGGGGCAGTCGTTGGTCGTCACCGACGACCTCATCGCCTGCCAGGCTGATGAGCCGCCCAAGGCTTTTACTCGGGATCTGGTGCACGTCTGCACGCTGACCACGGACCTTGGCGCGGTGCCCAGGCATCTGTTCACCAGACTGACAACCACACGCGGTGTTGAGTTCGACAATCTGGATTTTACCCTCGAGATGATCGTCGACAGTGCGGGGCTGGGATTCGAGCTTAAGGTTGACGGGGTGAGGTATGGGAGGGTAGATGCCGAGTTTCACTAGTTGGTCAGTTCTCTTGATGTTACTGGGGAGTAGGGAAACAAGGCGTCTGCGGTCAGGTTGTTGGTTTTTCGATACGGAGTTGGTTGCCCTTGCTTGAACCTGGACGAGGAGAGGGAAGAGATCATATATATATCGCACAGAACAGTCCTGGAACACAAAGTATGAATGAACCAGGGGATGATGTACTTGAACTGGTCTAGACAGGGAGTAACTGACCAATTTGCCCATGCTCTCTTGCATGTAGTATCCAGCCCCAGCCACCCTCCTCATGAAACTGCCTTGGAACAGAAGACTCGACATCCGTTCTGCCACGTATATGACTGCTCAATGGCAAAAGAATCACTCATTAACCATGCTATCTTGGTATTCTTTTCCTTTTGCCTTTTCTCCTTTTTTTATTTTGTGCCCGTGTCATGTCATCATAATTCATCCAAATGCCCCTTAAGACGACAGGTTCGATGCCAAACCCTATCTCACAAAGCCCTGGAAAATCTCCATAAAATTGAAACAGAAGACATTCGCTGTTAATAAAAGAGACAGGAAAAGCCACAAAATTTAGCTCGACATAAGCGAGCGAGCTGGGAACGAAGTGGTGAAACCAATGGGTAAGAATTGTGTAGTGATTGGGAAACCCATAACTGGCTCCAAGTAGAGGCAGCACTGTCTATCGGCGACGTTTCTCACCGATATTGTGAGCTTGCTGTCTAGGGTGATCAGGTCGGTTGGCAAACCGTGAACCTGACGTTGCCACTTTATTGCTGGAAGAATGCTGAGGGAGATCGTCATACCCACAAAGGAGACGCATAAAATGGAGACGGGCACCTGGTATGCTCTACTCGGGAAGGATGTCATGGTCAGAAAATGAGCATGAGAAACCCGTAGGAAAGAAAAGACGAACATCACCCGTACTCTGAGCATACATCATCAGCAGCTCAGGATTATCCAGAAAGGCAATCGCCTTTTGACGAAGCTCTCTGCCCGCGTAATCCTCCTTCTCAGGTCTGTAAATCACACCCCAGCAATGTCAGTTATTCCACTTTCCCCATCTCACAACAAGTATGAAAAGCAAGAAAAGTCTCACCTCCCTCCACCACCACCACCACCCCCCAACCTCAACTTCGACGTCCCAACCCCACCCTCCCGATCACTCAAGTCACTCCCCTCAGACCCATCCCCCGAATTATAGGGGTCCTTCCCCCTCGCCTGACGATCGCGCATGACAGAAGTGAAAGTGTCGCCGTCGTCCTCGTCGTCGTTTGATAATGACGACGATGAAAGTGATCCCGAGCTGGTCGTCGCCGTCGTGTTCATATAAGCTGAACTGAACTTCCTGTTGTTGAAGCTCTTATTGTGGAAATGTGCAAACGAAGATGAAGATGGACCTCCACCACCGCCGCCGCCACCGAAGTTGTGGTTGTGGTTGTGGTTGTGGTTGTGGTTGTGATTGTGGTTGTGGCTGTGGTTGTGGTGGTTGTTGCCCCCACCACCACTTCCTCCTCCTCCTACTCCACCACCGGATGGGCCTCCTCCAGGTGACAGGGACATGGCTGTTGCTCTCGAGTCTCTGTGTGAGTGAGGTGCAAGTTGCTTTGAATGAATGGATGAAAAAAAGAAAAAAAAAAGATCGATAAAAGAACTGCTCCTTCTGAAAATATCAGACGACTCTGGCTTTTGGTGTTACTCCCAACTAATGATAAATGTTTCAAAAAGAAAGAATCGCTCAAGTCCAATAAGGTAGGCAAGTTGAACAAGTGAAGTCGTGCAAGCACCACCCAGCTACCTCCAAAGGACCGGGAATGTGGGGCTAACTTAAAGCCGTACCACAGCGCCTACCTCTACGTTCTCCTTCCCTCTCTGCCACTCAAAATGTTTGCTCTTTCCCTCCTCTCCTACTAGCCAGCAGGTTGCTTGCCTCACTATGAACGCAAGAAAGAAACTGCACCTCCTCCCACTCCCATCAACTGCATTGCAGATGCACGTCTCCGTCTTGGGGCAAACATTCACGCAATGGATGGGACGGAAAATGCTCTTTTGCTTTCCTACTTGTAGCCTTGGCACATACACATAGACAGTTGCTTCTTTCCAAACCCGACCTAACCAAACCAGTTTGGCCGGCTTCGAGTGACTCCATCAAAAGTGTCCCGAGTCCTGGTAAGACACGCAGCAAGAGAAAAACAGTATCGGGTACGGCTCCATTGTTCTCTTCTCCTTTGTTCTCTGTTGGTTCTTGTCCTACGAAAGGAAAGGCCAAAAGGCGAGTGCCGGGACGCATGGAGCTGAATCGGCAGCTACCCGATGGCTTGCCCCGCCCCCGCATATCGATACCTACATCATAAGCACCTTTTTCCCACAGGGTCACGCAAATTATGGCTATGGATTATGTTGTGCTATTACCGTAAACTTCTTGGCGACGATTGCATACCGCCAAAAAGATCACCTTGTCTGCCATAGTTATGCCATGTGGCTGGCCCAGCCGTTCACCGCTCTACCACCCAGTATCGAGCAAACACACCAGATGATAGCCTCATCGTCTTGCCGGTTTCCATCCATCCATCCCTTGGTATTGCTGCCCGGTTTGATCTTGCTTTTTCCTGTCCGTTTGCCTCTCCCTGCATTTCTTCACCACTTTCTTCCCCTTGTCCAGCTGAAGCCATCCCAACATCAGGAACTAGAAACCGTCTCGAAAAAAATAGACAAAGGTAGAACCGGTCCCAGAATAAACCTTGAGACTTAACAACCTCTCCATACCAAACCCTCCTTACCAACTGCCTCTCTCCTCCTCAAGTAAAAATCCCCTCCCCCACAACCCCCAAAACCTTCCCCCCCACCGCCGTCACCAAAAAGTAACAAACCCTCACCCCCCTCTCATCCACCCCGATCGGGATTAGTCTCCGCTCACAACCGCGCGAAATCCCCCTCATCCGGAAAGCCTCCACATTATTCTCTCCCTTAGGGCACAGCTGAAC